ATTGGAAAATATTGAAATGTGCACGAGGTACCAGATATAGTGGACGAAGTATTCTGCTTCTACTTGTAAAAATATTGGGATGTGAAAAATTAAAAGATATCGCGCATTTATTTTCCATTATGTTAATCGAATTTTTAACCTTTTGTAGGGCAGGTAACAATTCAGAAAAATATTTATATATACCAAGTTTGAAGATAATCGCTGACTTTTTTCTCAAATTATGAGAGATGTAAGTATTAAAAATTGTGACACTATGTGGGGAAGACGTGGTTCTTGGGTGTCATCTTCATCTCATGCCTTGTATTAGTAAAAATATTGCAATTTGTGAAATTTGAAGAGAATCGGGTTCTTGTTTTGCATTTTATGCGAGTTATAATTATTTAAAAATTTTACCCGTTATATAAGAGGTACCAGAAGGAGTGGTCCTACATACTTCATCTTTACACCTGATCTTGTGTTGACCATTAGGATGAGTAAAATTTTGAGAGAATCGGATGCTGATTTCGCGTTTTATGAGCTTAATTGTTATTCAAAATGATGAACCCTTTATGGGGGAGCTACCAGAGGGAGTGGATCGATATCTACCATCTCTACACCAGATCTTGGGTTAGTAGTATTAGTGGGATGTGTACAATTTGAAGGGAATTGCATGCTTATTTTGCATTCTGTAGTAGTTAAAATTTTTCAAAATTTTGACCCTTTGTGGGGGAGGAACATGCACTGACATAAAAAAAAATTATACGTCCACGTTCTATCATGTCACTACACAACTTAATTATTAGGACGGTAGAATTCGAAGATTTCCAATTTATTGGGATATAATTATATAATTGAATTCCTAATTCATAAATGTAAGAAGATAGTCCGCCGAATTTAATTTTTTCTCTCTGTTTTATACCGTCCATACGATAGGGTTAAATTTATTTTGGTATGCAGTTTGCAAAACTGTGGTCAAAGTAAATTTTTATTGTCGATTATTATTATTATTATTATTTTATTTTAATTCACCCTTCGAATTTTATTTATCGTAATAACAAATTGTTCTAATACTATATCTTCCTCAAATAAAAAATTTCTTAGCATTTAGTACAATTTGTTTTATTTATTATTTATTTATTTTTAAATTTTCATATTCCAAATAAGTGTAATATTATTTTAGTTCAACGGTATGTATATACAGGGTGAGATGAAAAAACTGCAACCAACTTCAGACTGCTGTCATTTCTAAGCCACTCGTCCGACAGCTGTTTAAATTATTGCAGTGACAGCTCATTATATTGTTTACAAGCGTAAAAAACATTTTGTGAGAATTTTCCAGGATAAAAGTTATTCGTGATGGAATTCATGCGAGATAGTGTGATTTCTTTATGTTTGGCTGGAAAACCACAAGTGGCTATCGTTAGAGCACACCAGCATTTAAATGTGTATAAATCTAATGTGTCTCGTACCATCGCTAGTTAGCCATGATACTGGTAACGTAGCCCGACGTCAAGGAAGTTGACGGAAGAAAATAGCAACATCAGCAGAAATGGTTCGAAAAGTAAAGAAGCGACTTGACCAAAACCTGCGTCGCAGTAGCCGAAAAATGACTCGTGAGCTGAACATATCGCAATATTCCATTTGGCAAATATTCAAAAATTAGCTCGGAGTAAAGCCATTGAAATTTCAAAAAGTGTAAGAACTTACACCGCAATAGAAAGAAAATAGACTCAAAAGAAGTAAAGGAATGCTTCGCTTGGCCGAAAGTGGTGAACTGCAGAATTTGGCTTTCTCCGATGAGAAAACATTCGTTGTTCAGCAGTTTGTAAACAAACAAAATCTCCGGATACCAATCCGTTGGACTATTGTATGTGGAGTATTTTGGAAAGCAAGGTTGGCACTGAAAAATACCAAAGTGTCGATCATCTCAAGAAAGCGCTTCGCCGGGAATGGGCCAAAATACCGCTCTCGTGCAGCGTGTGGCGGTTTCACTGGCCGTTTGAAAGCCATAATTCATGCCAAAGGTGACCAATTCGAACAAATCTAAACTTATTCTAAAATTTGTTACTTTTTCCGAATTTTTTTGCTTTCATTCAATAAAATTTAAAAAAAAAAAATTAAAAATTATTGCGTTTGACTTTGTTACAGTTTTTTTTTTAGCTTACCCTGTAAATATTTCCTATTTTCCTTAAATTGGGCGAAACAGTGCAAATATTTTCATCATAAATTTTTCCATGTTGTATATAATACAAATAATAATAGCGTTTTATATGAAATACTTTTGTGATAAACTTGCTATATTTTTTTACTCCAAGAAACATATGTCTAAAACTTTTCTGGGATTATGTATTTTTTATTCTTAAGATATTACATGTCCACATAAGACAAGAAGAACGATTTTGTTTCTTATACATTATTATTTTGTGGTTACTAATTTAATGATCGTTAATTTATAATTATGTCGATGCTTCCATACGTTATGGGCAATTTTTATTTCACATTCTTGCATTTAAAATACAATAAAATACTCTCAAATTTATAATAAAACATCGTCCCTTGTATATTAATTCAGTATCAGAATCGGAGACATGAACAGAAAGCTTCAAAATATCGTTGACATAAAGGTTAACTTGACTGTTTTATTTCACATACCATTACATAATCCCAACATAAGCTATTTTCATTAAACAACAAAAACAATTCATCTAAGCCAGTAAGGCATAATACCCAAGTAATTAGTCATAAATATTGTTCATTTTCAAATCAAACATTTCTCAGTTTAGGCTACACATAACCCCATCCTTTCTATGTAAAAACTCCCACATTAGAACTGCGTGATGATATAAATCTCTTGCTTCCACTTGTCGACCGGGTCCCTCGATGATTTCTGTTGTTGTTGCCGTTAACTTTTTTTACGAGCTAGCCATAAATTTTCTATAGCTAAGGGAATAAAGTCAATTGTTTTATATGCGAAGGGCATTAGAACACGAAGCAGTAGCACCCAACTTCTGTTAACCAACACCAGTTACCCGCCATCACTCAGTCTTCCATCTCTCCGGTCTGTCATTGAGTAACGAAGAGTGGTGTTTTGTTTGGTGGTGTATGGTGTGTGTGATTTATAATGATTTGATTTTACAGGGAAGCCATCGGTAGCAAATCAAATTTCCCTCTCCCTTTCACAGTTCAAATTATCGGAAAAATCGTTTCACATTAGAAGTAGAACAATTCCATTGACTTTTTTTCGCTTACCACTCATTTGCTCGACTTCTTGCTGTATTCAGGCAGCCACTTACTCAGCCATTCGTTGAGGCACCACTCCACTTTAAAGTGGCGGCATTGTCGATTGGCATAATCGAAAATAAAGTTCATTTTTTCATGGTTCTGCTACTGGTTATTTCTGAACGTCAGTCACTCTTTCCAGCTATGTTAGGCGGCACTTACTTATTTCTTTTTTTTTTAATAGCTGCAAGTGTTCATTGATTTTGCTGTTTTCTGTCTTGTTGTTGTTGTTGCTGTTGTGATTGTATTAGCAAATAGGGAATAATAATAATGGGAAAACAGTAGAACACAAACAATTTTGATTGATTTCTAAAATGTTGTATTGGCTGTTGTGGCAGTGGGGATATCTGGTAGTCTTATCGGCAATCATTTACGTATTTGTTTTTAAAATACCCTACTCCAAGCGATATCGATTGTTTGTAATGATGGATGAGATTTTATTTGAGTGATATTGGATCAAGAGCGTCATATGGTTATGGTATTTGAAAGGCAATTGAAAATGTGAGGTTAGGTCATGCTTACCTAAGAGGAAAGATTTAAATGGTTACACAAAATTAGAATTTTAAAGAACGTTTTAGATGAGCTTAGACTTGCCAATAAAAGCTGTTATCTTAATTGCAATTTGCAAGAGCATGCCAGAAGAATAACAAAAAGGATTTTAGAGTTAATAATAATAAAAAAAAAAAAAAAACAGTTAAAATGCAGTAAGTTCGTCCGGGCCGAACTTTGAATACCTTCCACCATTTGGAACGAATTTTAAAATTTTCAAAAAATAAAAACCTTAAAAAACTCTGTTAAAATTTTAAAAATACCGAATATAGCCGTTATATTGGGGGTCTATACGACGTGGCATTGTTTGTCATAAGCCATTACCATATTCAAATTCAAAACTTGAAATAAACAGTGAATAATGTAGCTAAAATCATCAAAATATCGTATATAGAGAGATACCGTTATATCGGAGCTGTATGAAGGCCTGGACCAGCATATACTTTTTTCTGTCATAGGCTGTAGCATCCATTACGAACTTCAAATACGACATCTCAAAAAATTTCGGTGGGTATTGTACCTAAACTCGTCAAAATACCGAATATAGGGAGGTACTCATATATGGGGCCTATACGAAGTCCTGGACCTGCATATACAAAAGTTATAAAAAATTGAAAAATACTGCTAAAATCACCAAAACACCGAATTTAGCGAGGTACCGTTATATGGGGGCTATACGAAAAAGTGGACCTTTATGAGCAATTTTATGTCATAGGATGTAGTACTCATTAGGAACTTCAAAACCAAACTTCTGGTGGAAGGTTTGACACAAATCATTAAAATACCGAGACTGCGAGTTTGAAATGATGATGATAGACGGACATATCCAGATCTGTAAAATATATCCATTGATACACCAACATGTGGACCTAAATTTCGAATTGTTGCAGACTTCTGGGTCATAACAAACTCAATAACAAACTTGAAGAAATAAGTCAAATTTGAAAATAGTCAAAAACACAAACTGTGAGTTTATTGATTATTACGAGACGTTGCCAATATAAATTAACAATAAAATATTATTCCGAGATACTTAATTGCTTTGATCAATATTGAAACAACTTTGATTAAAAAAAATAAAATCTAGTGAAATCTAGTAAAAATTGCAGAGAAAATTATAGAACGCAAACAGGTTTACTTTTCTTGGCGAAATGAATTGATGTAATATTTAGAGACTTGATATTGGGACTTACCTTATTTATTTTCCCTTTTGGCAGCTTTTATTCATAAAATTCTGAAAATATACCAAAATATTTTCCATATTGTTATTAAACAAATTTTGTACATTTTAATTTTTCCAAAGAAAGCTCTTAAAAATGTTTGCCTTAAATTCCATAGGAATAAATAATAGTTAGTATTCAACCCTTACCACCCAGTCAGTCCGTCAGTCAGTCAATCAGTCTATATTGCTTGAAAATGGTTGTATAAACAATCAAATATCAACAAAATAATTGATTGTTTTGTTCGTTTTTGTGTAAATTTTGAGCAAATAACCAAGAAGTGTATAGACGAGAGGAAACCATATCAAATTGAAGAAATACAATTTGGTACAAATGCAAATGATGAAGTTCTTCGATAATGACTCTAATTAAAATTCATGTAAAGGCACACAATTACCACACGACGAGACCCATGACGTCAAATGTAGACAAAATCTCAAGGGAACCAGGGAGTGATTTTAATAATGGAGCAAAATGTAAGGAAGAGTAAAAATACTCGGAAGAAAATTGATAAAAAAAGGCCGTATACCAGTCCGCTGAATTGATGTTCTGGTAAATAAATCTTTACCATCTACGTAAATAATTGAGTACATCATTTGCAAATAATCCCTCAAAATAACATCACTGAAGGGCTTTGGGCCTAAAACAGTTGTAACCCTTCATGTTTGTCGTTACTGTTTGCTCGACTAATGATTAATGTAACTTCATTCTACCCTTCAACATTCATTTTGTCTATTTTCTTAAACTTCATGAAACAGAAAAAAAAAAAAAACAAATTGGAATAATAAATCTTGTGACAAACCAATAAAGTTCTGTGTACAGTGGTCATATTATCACAAAACCCTCACCCTTTTCAAGGGTGCGATGTATTCAGTGTCATGTAATTAAAAGTTGTTGGCGTTTATTTCAGAATTTTGATCGCAGAGAGACAACCAAAACAACTCGATACACATTCCGTATGCGTCTGCCAATGTCTAGATGTCGAATGTGGCCCAGACATTTTTATAACCTACACCACAAGGTGGTCAGGGTATTTTGTCTTTCAGCATTTGTTTGTAACAGGCAAAAGGAAACGAGATAGACCCATAGTTCCTTTTGATGATCTGCATAGAATCACATTCAGAGTCGATGCATGCATGCATGTCCGTCCGTCAATCCGTCAGTCTGTCCATGTATTTTTGTGAACAAAGTGCAGTTCGCATTTATTACACGATCCAGATGAAATTTTGCACAAATCATTTGTTTGGTCCAAGGACGAACCCTATTGAAATTGGAGTTAATCGATAAAAATTTAGATATAGCTCCCATATATATCTTCGTCCGATTTGCCTTTTATTGTGCACCAAACGTGTAATATCAGCCCGAATAGTATGGAATTTTGCACATACACCCAAATTAGGCCTGAAAATAAGTATGCCAAATTTGATCGAAATCGGTTCAGATATAGCTATAGCTCTAATATATATTGTTCATCCGATTTGTTATTTTAGTCCTCCGCCTCCGTAATATACACTCTGTAACAACAATATTTGGGGAAATATATCAAATACAGCTTAGAAATAACTTTGCCACATTTTATCAAGATCGGTTCTGATTTTGATATAGCTCCCATATATATCAAATGCGAAATACAAGTCCGAATTTAAAAAATACAAATGCTTCGGCATATTTAGTCTTTTGAACTTTAAATTATAATTATAATCATAGCGTGTATGATTGAATTCTCCCATAAAACTTTTAATTGTTATGTAGAGCTCTACAAAATTATCAAAGTGGGGTAGGGTATCATAAAGTCGGTCCCGCCCGACTTTAAGATTTTCTTTACTGGTTATTCACATTGAAAATATGCTAATTCGACCCATATTTACGTATAACTCTCATATAACAGTATCTACAGTTTTCGGTATTTTAAAAATTCCATCCACAGTTTATCAATATTTCAGAATGTTAAGCTATTGTTATACCCTACGCCACACTGTTGTGTGGAGAAGGAAGCAAAATAGACCCATGGTTCCTTTAGATGATCTTCAGGTTATGGCATTCTGAGTAGATTTATGCATGTCCGTCCGTCTGTCTGTCCATGTACTTTTGTGAAAAACGCAAGTCACATTTTTAATCCGTTTTATATAAAATTTTATGCAGGTCACTTGTTTGATTCAAGGACGAAGCCTTTGTAAATTGGAGGTAATCGAATGAGAAAAGAATATAGCTCCCATATATATGTTCGTTCGATTCGTTTTTTTAAGACGGAATTTGGCACATGCTACCAAATCGAGCTTCAAAGCTAAAATGAAAAATTTGGTGAAAAGCGGTGAAGATATACTTATAGCTTCTACATGTAATGTTTATCCGATTTGCTATTTTTGTCCAAATTCTCCATCTAGGTCAAATATTTAGTGTAGTCTCCTTATAGCAGTACCTTTTTGTATAGTTTTGAGCCACGATTTTCAACCATATTGGCCATAATGGTGATAAGTCGTATGCTTAGATTAAGATAAATAGCGGTAAGCCATGCCGTAGTTTTTATCAATGACAACTAACCATAGCCAAAAAAAAAAAAAACAAACAAACAAAAAAAAGTGGCCCCACCATTCACTGTGCCAACCAAATCCAACCATCACGGGCATAATCCATACTCAATTATATCACCCACTAAACTGATCTTTATCGCCTGTATATTTCCAGGCTATTCCTTGTTTCATTGCTTGTTCCTCTTGGTTGTTATTGTCTTTCTGCTTTGCCACAGATTTGTGTGGCAATCACTACAGACGCGTGTAAATGTTTTCCCATTTTTTGTTTTTTCTTCTACTTGTGGTTGATATTGGCTCGCTTGCTCCAGCCACAGTCGCATTGTGACGATGATAGGTTCCGTCTTACGGCATGGATAACCCTCGTCGTTCTGCCAATAATAAAAATGAAAGAAAATCAATGCACATTGTCATGACCATGATAAGACTCTTGGGTTTGAATATAAGGAGGCTAGCTCTATTTTTCAGTATTTGAATTAGTTTCTTTTTTTCATGGAGAATCATCGTTGTCATAGCATTTTATGTGCTTTCACATTCGATTGTGTGGCGCTGTGTTGATTTCTGGGCCATTTTTATAAATGGTCAATAATCAATGCAATCACAAGTGCTGCCAACCAATACCAAAGTCCCACATCGAATGGTGGTATTATCTTGAAGTAGTAGCAAATTCTTGTAATGTCAGCAACAGGTTTAATATAACAATCCAAGGGTAAACAACGAGAAAACAGAGCGCAGCGGTTAACAGAGGCCAAGCAAGGATGTCGCAATGATATTTCCGAAGAAAAACAAATGGAGTTTTATTCAATTGGCGGATAGCTGAATTTATGATTATTGATTATTTATAAAGAATAGATATCGTGGTAAGTGCAATGGGTTTATAATAAGAGATATTTTCATTTTCGTAGAGAAATTTTGCATTTAGGGCTAAAGAGTAATCTTAGAACGGAGGGGGAGAAAACATAGATCAATCACTGCTACATCATCAGACACATTGAATATTTGTGTTTAAAGTACTGTATTTATGTAAACCAATAAATAATGATTAATAACTTTAAATTATTACCACCTTTAATAAACGTTTTGTTTTTGTTATTTGTTCTCCTTTATTATGCAAAAATATTCATTGATAATAACAATACTTCTTTTTGATTCATTACTATGGCCATATGACTTAATTACTATGTGGTGGCTGAGTTAAGTAGTGGCTCGAAAGCTGTTTTTCTTTTCGAATACACAATAAATTGCATAATCATGATCTACCGAAAAGACATTATTTATTACCGCCGCTGCTTGCCATAAATTTCATGCACTGCACACAAACACGCACATACATTCATAAATATGTAAACTAGCTGGCGTTCACACCATAAAAGGTATTAAATATATTAAAATAACCAGTATATTGTGAACGTATGTTGCCAACCATAAACATATGAATATTTGAACATTTTAACAACGGAAACGGCATTTAAGCTGCTGCGGATTAATGTTTATGCTATGAAGTCTAGTTTGTATTCACAACTAACTATGGCGGCAGGGAATGAGGAAAATTATTACAATTTTAGAAATATAATAACACATAAACAATGGATTTAAATATAACTAAGCCTGTAATATGAAAACAAAAAACAAAATTAAACTGTGCTATAATATAAAAAATAATATTTGTGTGTATATTTGTATAAGTTTAGCTTTTTTTTTTTGGCCTACATGCATCGGATTTGAGTTTTTATACTGTAATATAATAAGACCACTATTATACATTCCCGATCAGATAAACACTAACTCGATTTTGCTAATTCCGTCCACCAGGATATTTGCCATGGAAAACGGGACATATTATTTTACTTAATTTTACTTTACCAATAACCCCCGAATACACACACTAACATAGCCACAAATGCCATTCAAACCTATTTCGAAGGGAGGACCTAACGATAAAAATACAAGCTTTGCAATAATAAGCATTCAGAATATGTCTAAAAATAAACCATACAATAGCTCTAGTGTTATTCTCAATTAAATTTTAAGTAATTTACCTTTTTCAGTAATATAATTAAATTATTCCCGTGAATAATGTTCTTAACAACATCAAAATACCGAATATCAGGTACAGTACAGGTACAGTTATTTGCGGGCTACACGAAAATGTGAATCTGCATACGCAATTTTTTGTCATAGGCTGTAGTACACATTACGAACTTTAAATACGAAATCTAAAACAATTTCGTCGAATGAGGGCTATACAATACTGTGGAGCAGTATAGACAATTCTCTTCCAGAGGGCAAAGTTCTTGGAAGGGACTCCTTGTACACATATATAGACAATTCTCTTCCAGGGTATAAGGTACTCAGAAGGAAATTACCAAAACACCGAATATCGGAGGGTACCTTTATATGGGGGCTATACGATATTGTGGACCAATATAGCCCATCTTCGAACTTGCAGGCAAAATACTGATCTGCGGAAAATTTTAGCTTGCTGTTTTAATTCTTTTTGACTCTGGCGTGATTACAAACGACGGACGAACGGACGGGGCTAAATCGTCTTAGAAGTTTACGCTGATCAAGAATATATTTACTTAGTTAGATTTAAAATTATTATTTGGATGAGTTACAAACGGAATGACGAACTTAATAAACCTTCCATACTGTTCAGGGTGGAGGGTAAAAAAATACCGAAATACCGAGATACAGTTATATTGGGCCTTTACGAAGACGGTAACCTGTAAATGCAATGTTCTTCATAGGCCAATACGATATTCAAATACAAAACTTGAAACAATTTCGGTAAATACTTTCGTTTAAACCATCATAATACCGAATATCTGGACGTAGCGTTACATGGCTATCCAAAGACCTGTCATAGGTTGTAGTAGCCATTAGGAACTTCAAATTGCAAATTTAAAACATTTCCGACGAAAAGTGGTTACAGAAATCATCAAATTACCTAATGTTTGGAGGTACAGTTATATATGGACTATATCAAAACTTAGACCGAAATTGGCAGTTCTATGCAAGGATGTTTCTTACATCACGGTAACATATGCTACCAATTTACAGCAAATTTGGGTTAAAATTGTGACTTGTAATGGGGGCTATAACAAAACGTGGACATACATACCCCATTTTCAATACCAAAAGTCCTGCGCAACAAACACACATCTGAGTAAAATTGTATTAATATATAATTTCGTTCGGAAGCTAAAGTCATTTCCACAGACGGACAGCCCTAAATCGACACAGAATTTTATGCTGATCGAGAATAGATGTGCAAAAATGTATGAGGTAATGAGGTGTTTCAAACGGAATGACAAACTTAATATACCCTCCATACCTTGGTGGAGGGTATAAAAATCAGTATGCATATAGAAGCATATGCGAAGAGGTAGTAGAAGGATTCGACCGATTTATATAAAATTTGGTTAGTGTGGGTTCAGAAAAAGTTATAACTCCCACATTTAATTATCTTCATTTAATTAGATAAAAGTTAGTAGATACAGCCTAGAAATGCCGTTCATCAAGGCTCAGGTTAAGCTATAGCTGCCATGTATATTACCCTCTATTTTGGAGCACCGACCATCTAGAATTTTCGAATTAAGTTAAGACCAAATTGACTGACCATTTTTGAAATCAAAATAGTATTTCTTCCTCCATCAAATTTAGTGCACATCAAATCAGATTAAGATATAACTCCCGTGTATTAGTTCTATCAAACTGCAAACGTAAAACCCTAAAAAGCCATACTAAACATATATTTATTATAGGTAGAACTGCTAAATAAGCATGGTGTTGTAGGGTATAATGGGTGTATGTTTTTGCCTTCCTTACTCATTTACCGCTATTTTTCCAATAATTTTGTAAGAACAATTCAGGAAAAGGCACATATTTCGGCGCTTTCAAGTCACCAACCGTTTTTTTAAATATGGTTGAAAACCTCTACAAAATTATTTCCAAGAAATTTTACAAGAAGTATCGGAATCTAAATTAGAATGCATCGGAAATATAAATTATACCTAAACAACAGGACTTTATAATTATTACAATACCATTTTAATGATAAAGTCGTACTTCATGTAGGTTAATTCAAAATATGGGATCATAGCATAATTTTAGAAGGTTTACGTCAAAGACTAATTTCTACTAATTTCTTGCTAATTACTAATTCCTTTGATAAATTATTTCTCGGACTTTTTTGGAGTTAGTGCATAAAAGTTGCATAATATTTTGTTTTTGGCAGAAGTGAGAAATATTTTGAATAACATTTCACTATAAATCTCATAATAAACCATATATCTAGATTTAATAGTTTTTAACACAATTACATTCGAAATTTATCTTTTACAAGTTTAAAATTGTGTGGTTACGTTGTATACTGTAGATTTAAAACGTTTTCACCAAAGTCCACATATCTTTTAATACTAATTGTTTTTGGAACTACCTAAGGAAGTAGTCTCTTAAATTCATTGTGAGTCTCTTAACAAAAGAATTTTGCATACTTAATACAGAGCTCAGTCTGAAATAAATAAATAATATAAAGAGATTGTTCTAGGAAAAATGAAAATTGTATTTTTCATTACATTTTACAATTTATTTAAGTTTTATTAAAATGAATGTTATCTAAAATCGTTATTAAAGGTAACTTTTAAAGAATTAAATGAGTAATATATAGACATTGATTGGTTGGTTGTTTAACAAAAACTAAGAGAATTTGGCCGCTTGCGCTAGAAAACCTTTTAGTTCAGCATTGACTTAATATGAACCATACGAAAATACCATTTTTGTTCACCACCAAAAGAGTTTCGGGTACTTCGGCCAAACTCTTTAGGTCGTTATATAACTTTGGCCATATGATATATACTTCCGACAGGAGGTATTCATAATGTATATATTTTTCAGGATAGCCCCCACATAACGGTACGGTACATGGTGTGTTATAATTTATTTAGTTTTCTGTAATTGTTTTTTGTTTTGCTTTGTGTTATTTTAGAAGTCGAAGACAATATTGGGAAATTTATTTTTAATTGCATTACAGAAAATGGTATGTTAATAGTTTGTCAGCAAAATTGGGTGGTTGCTTATAAGAAGACTATACCCCAATTTTTGGGAGTCTCAATTGAGATATAAGTTGGCTTCAAACTTTCTGAAATGTTCATAGTTGGTACTTGTTTGATATGTCAGAATGTAAATATATGTGGTGAGTCCTCTTCCAACAATAATCCAAAATTTTAAATTACGGCCAATTTATTTGCAACAGGGACCTACCCAAAAAATACTGGTTAGGGAAGTACCTTTACATGGAAGGCTACATTATTTATTTATTTATTAAAATTTAACAAAACCTGCTAAGCATGTTCCAATATATATAGGCTTATGTCCACTGAGAACATGAAACGCTGAAATACAATTAATTGGGGTTGAAAATGCGTCATATGGAGGCTATACAATATTTATTGAACGTTTTTGCATAAAGAGCAAGCATATCCGTATGTCGAAACTCAAGAGATACTACTATATGGGACGGTGCCTACGTTTAGGCCGATATAGTCCAGTTTAAATGCCAACCATACAAAGCATTAAAAAAATTGGTATTCCAAATCTAAAAAAATGTGTGATAAATCTATTTAGAATTTTTAGCTGATGAAGAATACATTGCTTGTTTAGTCAAAGAGTGGAATAAATCAAAACGTCTTTTTTTTAGTTTGTATTTTTTATTCTACAAATTCATGTTGATATCTTTAGAATTCAAGGAGTTGTAGTCATTCGGAGTAGAACGGTAAATTGAGTTTAGGAAGCACTTAAATTCTTCAAACCTGGTTTGATCTTGCCCAGCAATGTATTTTATATTTAAATTTGGGAAGAAGAATTTCAATAGCGAACTTAAAATTCGTTTATTTCTTATGGCATGACAGACCAACGTTTTGACTTTTATGCAGGAGGGCATAAACATTACTCGGCTTCGCAGCATTTATACAATTTATAAATATTATTCTCTTTCGACCAAAACGTACTCAATATTTCAACCACAATTACAAATATGAGTCCTGCTGCTGCAGTCCAACAATCATAGGTGGTCGATCCTACTAATATGGGGTCCGTTCCCACAATATTTTAGATAACGTTCTTGAAATTCGGTAAATTTCCCAACAATATTACGGCTTGATTAATACAATTTTGAGAATTATAACCACACTTCAATACCAATTGACAGCGATTTCGTAGTCATTTCAGTTTTTGATCACTCATTGTTCCCTTGAATGTTAAGGAATTTTCGAAAAATGTTTAAGTAATTATTTCCACAATACTTTTTTTTTTTAAATAATATGTCACCCATTAGATCTACCAGAATAATAGATATATATTTTTGTGTTTAGTACTGATTTAAATATGTACGGATGAGATAAAAATATTTCCGCTAGTGTATATTAGCAATTTGATTTAATTTATTTGCATTTAATTTGCTTGTTACATATCCGAGATACTTGTGTATGTATATCGTACCGATTTTAAACAATGATACGACCATAAATTAATGCAATTATTAATAAATAGAAATAATGAAAAAGTGTTTGTTTTTGCTAGAGATTTGATTTCACTAATTTACACAAAAACGAACCTAAAAATCATTGTCAAAAAATAAATTAATTGTATCGTTTTTTTTTGTTTCGTTTAAATGCAAATTACACATAAAGTTTTTTTCGTGTTTTTTTTTTTTGTATTTCGTTTAAAATAAAAACACATTTATAATTGTTAATCTCTTGCACGTACTCAGTTGGTTATTTGCGTGATGTGATGTTTGACACTGCAGCACCTGCCAAGCGGCTTAAATTAATTTCAATTTTTTTCTTCACTTTTATTCGTTGCAAATGCAAATGTGATTTTTTTGTTTTTGATTGAATGCAAATCGTTTAATACGTTTGGCCGTGAAGAAAGGAGGGATTTTAGGAAATCTTTACACGATTGTATCAACACAGGGAACTTTAATTTTTACTCTTTACAAGTTTTGTTTATAACTCTTTTGTGTTTTGCAAAATTTTGATTTTTTGCAAACAAAAACAATTTTTGACACTTGCTTTGCAGTCGATTCTTGTTCCTTTCTCTCCCAACGCTAGCGTTTGTCGTCGAATTAATACTTCGTCCCCGTCGCAGAGAAGACTGAATTGGTTGTCAAAAATGTACTACACTTTATAGGTTACGATTATTTGAATTGACGATTCAGCAAACGATTCAACCAATGATTTATAAATGTGATTTAAGTACACATTACGTTGACGATCAGTAAGTACTCGACTAACAAGACCGTAAGCAGCACACGGCACAGTCTTGCCACCACACCCCCCTTGCTTTTACTCCAGCAATTGGAATAATAAATATTCTTGAAGAAAAAAAAACAACGACAAGGGGCACACGATAAACTTCATGGAAATGCTTGAAAGAAGAGGACAGACAGCTAAAGTCCCATCGCTCCAAAAACATTGGAAACATTGCATACTATGCCAAATATTTTACCAACATATGATCGTTGGTTGTACTACGTCTACGTCTCTTCTTCTTGTTCTCCCGTGTGGTGTATAACAGCACGATGATCAATCAACTGTCGTCGTATAACAATCAACAAGTGGAAGAGCCGTAATCAATGAAAAACCAGTAAAGAAAGTCCTAAAGTCGGGCGAGGCCGATTTTATGATACCCTACACCACTTTGCTAATTTAGTTGAGCTCCACTTAATAATTAAAAGTTTTTATGGGAGAATTCAATCATACACGCTATGATTATAATTATAATGTACAATTCAAAGGACTAAATATGCCAAAGCATTTGTATCTTTAAAATTCGGACTTGTATTGCCCATTTGGTGCAAAATTAATTTGAAATCAGATAAAGATATATATGGGAACTATATCCAAATCTGAACCGATCTCGATAAAATTTGGCAAAGATATTTTTGAGCTGGATTTGATATATTTCCCTGAATATCGTTGTTACCGAGTGCATATTACGGCTGTAGGTAACAAATACAACAAATCGGATGGACAATATATATGGGAGCTATAGCTATATCTGAACCGATCTTCACCAAATTTGGCAAACTACCTTCTAGACTAAATTCGGTCGTATGTGCCAAATTCCATCCCATTTGGGCAAATATTACACATTTGGTGCACAATAAAAGGTAAATCGGACGAAGTTATATATGGGAGCTATATCCAAATCTGAACCGATCTCGATAAAATTTAGCAAAGGTATTTCTGAGCTGCACTTGATATATTTCCCCAAATATTGTTGTTACAGAGTGCATATTACGGCTGCGGAGGGCAAAAATAACAAATCGGATGAACAATATATATGGGAGCTATAGCTATATCTGAACCGATTTCGATAAAATTTGGCATACTTATTTTCAGGCCTAATTTGGTTGTATGTGCAAAATTTCATAATATTCGGACTGATATTACACGTTTGGTGCACAATAAAAGGCAAATCGGACGAAGATATATATGGGGGCTATATCTAAATTTTTACCGATTATCTCCAATTTCAATAGGGTTCGTCCTTGGGCCAAACAAATGATTTGTGCAAAATTTCATCTAGATAGGACAATAAATACGAACAGTACTTTGTTTACAAAAATACATGGACAGACGGACAGACGGACGGACGGACAGACGGACGGACGGACATGCATAAATCGACTCAGAATGTGATTCTATGCAGATCATCAAAAGGAACTATGGGTCTATCTCGTTTCCTTTTGCCTGTTACAAACAAATGCACAAAGACATAATACCCTGACCACCTTGTGGTGTAGGGTATAACAAACTATGATAATACAACACCGCCTTGTTGTGTTCGCTCAACTTCGACACAACGGTTTTCAGTTTTCTTCCATCTTCTTTGCAGTGTACAAGCAGCGATTGCATGTAACTGTTATACGATTGTGGGAAGTATAACAGTGGGGAATGCCAGCGATAATATTTTGCTAGGGTGTTATTTATGTTTCTCTATTACACCCGTACATACAGACCACGCAGTGCTGCTCAAAGCATTTATAAATTACTTACTGTCGAAGAACTGCAAAACGCAGTTATTTTAAAGGGAAAATATAAATTCAAAAGGATACCGGTAAAGGATAAAGGAATAGTATATATATTTGGTGGTTCCAAAAGATAATCCCAAAAAATCACCTTTTATTTTAAATATATGCTACCACAAATATTACAAATACCATTTAAAGCGAGTAAACTACATCTGCTAGGAAAGAATGTGAAAAAACATCAACTTTTTGCTTTTCAATGAAAACGATAATCCGACAAAATATCTTAAATATGGTCCAAAGCTTAATAACAAAAACAAGAGTACAATTATTATTAATTTGGAATATTCTGTTGACACTATCTCCAAAAAATTAAGTTTTTTTGGGATATTTTTACTCAGTTTCTCGGCCGGGCCGAACATTTAACTCCCACCACCATTGGTAAAGGAAATATTTTTATATAAAAGTATTGAATTCAAGCGTGTTCCACTTTAAACTACAAATACCAGTTAGACCGTTGGGATAATGCAGTTAAACTTTTCAAAAACCATAAAGGCCTTTATATGAGGCCATACCAAAACGGGAATCTATATAGGCAACTTTATACTACAAGGATTGCATTTGAAAAATGTCGTGGGTAAATGTGACTAAAATGATAATACCAAATATCGGTGGGTACCGTTATAGCCCGCGTTATATGGGGGCTATACAAAATCGTGGAAATATGTAAAAATATGTACCAATTTTAACACAAATCCGTGAAAAAAAACGTGGTAAAAATCATTAAAACACGGAAAATCGGTGGGTACAGTTATATGCGCGTGATAGGAAAACGTGGATCTAGATATTCAATGTTCTATCACCGGAGCTAGAACTTGTTATGAATTACAAATACCATTTATTAGACAAATCCATGGGAAAATATGGCAAAAATCATCAAAATACCAAATATCGGGAGGTACCCTTATATGGTGGCTATATGAAAACGTAGACCGATATATTTCATTTTCAGTATGAACTATCCTAGACACAATACACATTACCGTGCCAAATGTTAAAGGTCTACGTCAAATAGAGTGGACTGTCTCACGATCTTAACAGACAGAAAGACGGCTTAGAATGACTTAGAATTTAATGATCATGAATATATATATATATATATATATATATATATATATATATATATATATATATATATTGCATAGAATTTGACTTGTTTTCACTTAAAAAAGAACATTTAAAAATGGTATTAAGTTCTACGTGGTCGAACTTTTAATACCCTCCACAATGAGGTAAAAAAAAGCTTAAAACCAGGGATTATGTATTTTGGGCAACTTCTATTTTTGCCATTGAAATCAGTTGGTAAAAAGTAGTTATCTCTAGCGAGTTGAAATACCAATATTGAAAAAATTCTCTTAAGGAAAAGCAGAAGTCGGGCGATCCCGACTTTATGATACATAACACCACTATGCATGTTTAGTATGCTTAGTAGTAGTTCGTATTTAAGTATTATTGGGGTTTTACGGCTTTAGAGCGGTTGAAATTTGTCTTATCGATTCCCACTAAACTTAACTGAGGTAAATTTATGTTGTATGTGGCAGCTCCGCCCAAATATCATTGCTTTGGAGTGCATGTTATGACTTTTAGAATAAATATAAACAAAAACAAATAAAAAAATCCGATGAAACAACTTAATTGGACATTGATGCATTATTTACATCAAATAGGAACAGATAAAACTTCGAAATACCCTCAAACAATATGTGTTATGAGTTTGATTGGGCCCAACAAGTTTGTAAATGGACCAAAAATAGAAAGTTAAATATACCATAACTTTGTGTGCAAAATACCAACATTTCTATTGAATATTTTTTAACTCCGACGAAATCGCAAATAAATAAATGTCGACTCTGACCGTTATAGTGTTGCAGATAGATTGCAGATAACTCAAAGCGGCTGGACTGATTTTAAAGATTTTCATGAATTAGGAATGACCTCTTGGCAAAAGGTGTATAAAATATAAAAAACGCATATAATAAAATGCTGTAATATTTTTTGTTAATTTATTTTTTTTTTATTAGTTCAATTTAACTTACAATACTGAATTGCACATCTTGTAACATTTTTATACCCTGGAGTTAAGGAAACGTGTTAAATTAATTAATTAACAAAACAAGTTTATATTGGGAATTTATGTGAAGTAGATCATGTCAACTATTCGAATCTGTATCATTGCTTTAGAGTAGTCACAAGTTGGGAACTATATCCAACTCTGAATCGATTTTCTCTTGATGGAGTCTTTTGTACCTCTAGTACCCAATAACATCGCTGTATAGTGTATGATATGACTTCGATAAGAATAATATAAAAAAAAATATTTATTGGAGCAATAGATATACCGGACCGAGTTTCACCAAATGGAAACATTCGGTTGAATATGACAAATCTATCTAACGGTAAAATCTGAATCTGTTGTCCGGTATCAAATATCATTGCTGTGGAGTGCATTTTACGCATATTAGGGACTTTAACACCAAATTGGTGAAACATATATATGGGAGCAATACATAGCTATATCTGAATCGATTTTTACCAAAATTTGATGTACTTGGTTCTGGGCTGAATTCCGTCGGAAGAGCCAACATTTTGTCCATTTGAAATGATATTAGCCATTTGGTGCACAATAATCCTAAAATCGGATAATGGTATATTTTGGAGTTATTTTGCAAATCTGAACCGATCTTGACAAAATTCGAAACACTTATTTCAGAGCTGTATCTGATATCTGGTACCAAAGAACATTGTTGTGCATGCACTCCATATTATAAATTGGTATTTAGCTGAGTTCGTTCAAAACATATAAAGCTAGAAAGGAAAGAAAAAAGTCGGGCAGCATCATGATACCCTACACTACTATACACATTTAGTAGAACTACCCATAACAACTAAAAATTTATATTGCGAATTTACGTGTTCTAACTTAATTAAATTGTCATACCTTATGTTACTGTTATTGTCCAAAATTAAAACACTGTGCCACACAAAAGGCCTTTTTATATATTAATAATTTATGTACAGTTGTAACGCAGGTCGTTTAGAAAATGTCCTTTACGCTTGTTAGAATTTATTACTTGATTGCATTATTGGACTTCTACCTTTTGTAGATAGGCTGTGTGGCTGAGTTGCTGGCTTCTCAGCATTAGCAAAATAATGGTGGCCACGAAGAAGCCGCAATACAACACTCGCCACGAACGAAATGTTGTAATTGGTGGCTGGCTGCTGCTGATACAA